TACCGTAGACAACGGTTAATTGGGACACCGGGGGTAAATTGGAACACGGTTAAAATAGATGGTTGCCCCAAGTCACCATTTGGCATCTGTCCCAATTCACCCAGGTGTCCCAAATAACCCCGCGATCTACGGCATGTAATGTTTTGTCAACCGAATGATCAGTAAGAATATATATTTGGTTTTGCATAATTTGGTCATGTATATTGTTAATAAGTAATAGTGTGGTTTGGGAAAACAAACACTCGTGATCAAACCATATACTATTGCCTATACTGAATACCTCTTCAATTTCCTTGATAACTTTATGTTTGATGTTGAGATCTTCAAATACAGCCTCGATAACAATATCAATTTTATCAAAACCCTGAAGTGATAACATACATCCAGTGAGCTCGATATATATATATTTCTGGAGTGACAACTGAGGTGAAAAAAGTGAAGCCAAAATGGCAGAAATTGACGTCCAGTGCCAGGCCCTTTCTATTGTTTTCTGCCTGCGCGATTAACACGAAGCTGCAAGTACCAATATTTCGTTTTTTGACTTCGATTTAAAGAATAATATAATGTTTTTATAAACTGATATCTTGATCAGCGATATGATCCGTTAGAAAAAACTAGAATTAGCTGGAAAAAAGTCTTATTTTTAAACGGCTTATTTTTAGGCCTAGCTTTCAAATATTTTATTAGCCGCGGCTTATTTTCGCTCGTATAAATGGTCCTATTGTGTTTTTGCCATGCAAACGCACAATACAAGTAACTTATTGTAGTACCTTGTAGTCCAATTGTGCCTGCAGGTCGGATAACATTCTGTCACGCTCAGCACTATGCAAGTGATAGAAAAATGTAAATTAGCAAACAACGCACTGCTTCATACCGCTGATCTATATAAAAACACTAAAATATAAAACTATTTTTACTGGATAGCTCTATCAGTTTTAAACTGTTCTCCCTAGAGGTCCGTGCGGCAAGGATCGTCCCTCATTGATCCAGTGTTACCACAGGATCAAACCTAGCCTAAACTAAATTGATTTATACTGGACAACTCTATCAGTTCTAAACTGTTCTGCCTAGAGGTCCATGCAGTAAGGATCATCTCTTATTGATCCAGTGTTACCACAGGATCAAACCTAACCTAAACTAAATTTCTTTATACTGGCAACTCTATCCGTTCTAAACTGTTCTGCCTAGAGGTCCATGCAGTATAAGTATCATCCCTCATTGGTCTAGTATGGGTTATCCTTTTATTCATCTAGTGTTGCAAAGATCTATAACAGCAGTATAAAGAGAGTACAATACAGCACGGCAAGAATATTTGGAGCCCGTTGTTCGAAAGCAGGTTAGGTTCATCCTAGGTTAACCCACGCATTAAGCGCCAGTGCTCTCCCTTGGGAAAATCGGGAATAAAAGTAGGGCACATCAGGGCGCATTGCCACTTAAAGAGTTACAAGTAATTTTCCCAATCTCCTGTTTATACAAACATGGAGTTTTTACTCAGAAATCTTGCCTGGATAACAGAAGTTTTATTTCCTAAAGTTTTGAATTACTGAAATAAACAGACGTGTAGATGTACCCAAACCAAAACAGCAGGTTAGATTTTAACCCAGGGTTAGCGCTAATCCAGCTTTGAACAACTGGCCCCAGGGTAGAAAATAAATCTAAAACTAATACCTTGACATAGCTCTCCTTTTAACTCTGGTGTTCAATCTATACAATTTTAAAAGAAACGCAACAAAATTTATTTACTATTCAAAAGAACACATAAAACTAAGTCATTTCTTTTGAAGGAGGAACTCTGATAATTTTTTTAATGACACTTCTATTTGTATAACACTAGCCTAGCAACATTGCCTTATGTAAAATGTAAATATCTAATCTTATTACCGTTATATTAGCACTATATAATATTATATATTGATCTTAGTAATTAGTAGTTCTGTTAATGTAATCTAAGCTCGTCAATTCAGTAATTGTACTGCAAAAGATTTTTTAGTAAATACTGCGGATTCAGGTAGACCGTTTAATGCGAATAGTTGTCGCGTTAGTTTCAACGTTTTTGCAGATTTTCAGACGTTTCTAAGGCGTGGCTTCAATGTTTATTTTCAAAATTTAACTGTTGTAATTACAACGTTCAAATTTTGAAAATAAACTTTGAAGCCACGAAAATCTGCCTAGAAACGTCATCGTGCAACCGTTGAAACGGGTTAGGTTAAAATGCGGAAGCCGATGCGGAACGGAACGGATGCGGGACGGATGAGGTTAAAATGCGGAACAGAGCGGAACGGGTTTTAACCTCATATTCGTTCCGTTCCGCATTTTAACCCCATATCCGTTCCGTTCCGTTCTTTAACCCCATATCCGTTCCGTTCCGGTCTTTAACCCCATATCCGTTCCGTTCCGCATTTTAACCCCATCCGTTCTGTTCCGCATCCGTTCCGTTCCGCATCCGCTTCCGCATTTTAACCTAACCCCTCGCAAGCAAGGGCCTCCACGTCCCGCCGCGGGTGTAGAGGGCCTTGCTTGCGAGGTTGTTGTGAAACCACAGGAGGCCCAGGCTCGATTTGCCCGCGCCCGCCTGTGCCTTCCTTATAACGAGGGAAGGAAGGAAACATTGAGACCAAAATAGCCCAGACTGGCATATGTCACACGAAACTATCCTCGATTTTTCGCCTTTAATGCATTTCTTTTCACGATTAATCGATATCCCCTGCAAGAATGATACCGTATAACTCTCAAAACAACGATGTAAAAAATCAAAGGGCTTAAATTCGCTCTGAAATCCGTGAGGGAATAACAAAATTCGCCCAAAATATATCCGCGTGCCGGGTTTGCTGGACAAAAAGCGGAAGTCGTTGAACAACTCAAAATACACTCAACCCTGATTGGACAACGAAAATCAACAAACACCCCAATCTTTTCTCCACTGGCACTGGGAAGGGGGACAGTACTTGGAACAGTACTGTAATAATTTGATTATTTGAATCAAAACAATTCACAAATTATTACTGACTAAACTTCTTAAATTTAAATATTTAGATTTGCACTGGTTTCCCCCCGACAACATTTGTTAATTGTTTTGATTCAAATTTATATTACATTACTGACTACAGAAATTTGAAATGTTTGTTGATTTTCGTTGTCCAATCAGGGTTGAGTGTATTTTGAGTTTGTTCAACGACTTCCGCTTTTTGTCCAGCAAACCCGGCACGCGGATATATTTTGGGCGAATTTTGTTATTCCCTCACGGATTTCAGAGCGAATTTAAGCTCTTTGATTAAAGCATCGTTGTTTTGAGAGTTATACGGTATCATTCTTGCAGGGGATATCGATTAATCGTGAAAGAAATGCATTAAAGGCGAAAAATCGAGGATAGTTTCGTGTGACATATGCCAGTCTGGGCTATTTTGGTCTCAATGTTTCCTTCCTTCCCTCGTTATAAGGAAGGCACAGGCGAGCGCGGGCAAATCGAGCCTGGGCCTCCTGTGACTTAGCTACTCTTGAAGTGCAAAGGATAATTTTCAATTCCCGTTAGAAGTTGGTATTTTTAATAGCATCACTTTAATACAGACAGTTCTTTAATATTGATCCTTTCTCACACGAAATATTTTATAAAAAACCTGGTAAAAAAGCTTTTTATAGCGCGTGATAATATAAACCTTTCACTCAATTAAAATGACAAAAATACAAACAAGTTAGAGTTATAGACCATGCATGTATTATAAAGTTGGTATATATAAATGATGTTTCAACGCATGCATGTGTGTCTATTCGTTCATGTTTAAACTGTAAATTAAACTGACACTCAGTGAGGGAATTTTAGTACGACTCCATCCTGCGACTCTATCCGCGTTTTCGCTTGCTCTGAGATTCAATATTGTTGGCCGTCTATAATATGGCATAGCATACCGAGCATACTAGCCTACATATAAGAAGGTCGCACACGACGACGCGGTACTAGGCTATATGTCCTGACTCCTATATATATATCATTATGGAGGTACTGACACAGTATAGGCTATAGCACGAAAGATTGCATACACTACAAATTATTCTCTTTTAGGCGGATGCGCCAGTTTTATATTTATAAACAACAAGTTGATCTTCTGCTGACATGTTTGTATTGAATCAAAAGGTTTTTTATAAAATATTTCGTGTGAGAAGGGATCAATATTAAAGAACTGTCTGTATTAAAGTGATGCTATTAAAAATACCAACTTCTAACGAGAATTGAAAATTATCCTTTGCACTTCAAGAGTAGCTAAGTCGGTAAAAACAAGGAAGCCAATCAACTGTTGTTACTTTAATATTTTGAATTTTACTTTAATGCGCTGGTAAAATCCTAAAAAAGTGCTGGCAAAATGGCTAAAAAGTGCTCAAAAAGTCGGCTCAAAATCTCAAAACAGTGCTCAAAAAGTGCTAAAATTGTGAACAGTTACCTCTAAGATTTTCGTAAATTTTTTAAAATCAGCATTTTTTAAAATCTGTTTCCACGTCTTTCTCCATATATGGAACAAACTTCCGTATATGGAGTTGTTTACGACAAAAAAAAAAGAACTCGAAAAAGTCAGCGTTCTAATTTTTTAACTGTAATGTCATATGCAGCTGTACGGCTTTTCTTTTGGAGTTATACCTAAATTATATATAAAATAATAGTATAATACCCGTCAATTTTTAAACCTTACTTCGAACTGTATGTTTAGTTAATCGAGGTACGAATCGAATTCTATAATCGCTGACTTTTTGTTGCTCAAAATTCGCTCGAAATGTGAAATATTGCTCAAATGTTGCCCAAAGTGCGAAAAAAAAGTGCTCAACGTTGCTCAACATGCAAAATGGTGCTCCAAACAAAAAAAGTGCTCAAAAAGTGCTCAGCGCAATCGGGAAAGGCCTACTAATAATGAAAAATATGACCTTAGAAATAACGGAATTAATTTTCAACTGGATAAACCTAAGACTAATTTCCTCAAAAAAAGTACTAGCTACTCAGGGGCAAAATGCTGGAATAATTTGCCAAATGAGATTCAAAAGAAATGACGATGGGACACAATATTTTGTATATATTCTCTTAGACTTTAACTGTGTGATAATTTGTATTATATTATATTTTAGATGTAATTTTTATTAAACTTTGTAAATATTAGTTTAAACGGCCTCTTGAAAAACGGATCATAGGTGTTCTGAAGAGCTACCGTTTTAAAATATTTGTAAATAATAATAAATTGATATTTCCTTTCCTGTTCATTAATACTGAAAAATTTGTATTTTCCGATGTATTTTTGTACGACACGACTTTGTTTATCTGATTGTCTCGCTTTATGAAACATATAAACCTTTATATTTTTCGCTGTGTAATATAAATAAACTCTGTATCGTCTATGAAGAACAAATTTTGCACTCGCTCGTTCGTTTAATTTGCGAAAACAGATTATAACGCGTGCGTAAATACCACACGTAAGTATTTCCCATGAAAAAATCTCTATATACTATTCGGTTATCCGGTTATCCGGTTATCCGGTTATCCGGTTATCCGCTACCCGGGTTTTCTACCATGCCGATCCCGACTCTGTCTCCTGATCGGATGATTGTATTAAAGTTCTCTGATTGGTTCAAATAGAACATCTATAACCAATCAGAGAGTTTTAATACGATCATCCAATCAGGAGACAGAGTTAGGATCTGACCCTAATTCAAACTGATTGGCGCGGCTCAATGAATCAATTACCGCTTTCGATCAGCGGTTTATTTTTCCTCTCCCCTTCGCAATGAAAATAATATAAATAAACCTCTGGAACCAGGGTAATACTTGGATAACTTTTCTGACTTTGCGGAGATGCGCGTCTGCACCACAGTCTAAGACATTCGTTACTCAGACTATATGCACACGGTACCGTTTCTGAGCTTTTTCGGTTTTTGGTTGTAATGCGTTAATTTCTGAAACTGAAAGTACCATTTTCACGTACGTTCTGTTCACACGAAAACGTATGAAAACGACGTCAGGAAGCAAAAACGTTTCAAATAGTGAAAACGATGCCAAAGATTCGTTCTCTACGTCTGAAACGTTTGGTCATTTTCGCACTTTGTTATTGTGTAAACAGAAAAGTAGAAGGCGAAAATGAAATTCCGTGTTTGAATTTGGAAACGAAGACTATAAAAAACTAGTGCTTTGTCTGAAAATGTTGCGAGAAAAACGATCAATGTGAACAAGGCGCCTAAACGCTAAATTTGAAAACGGCACTGCAAAAACGCTCAAAAACGTGACCCGTGAGCACATAGTTTCAGTCTCAAGTTAGGACTTATGAAAACACAGTATAAATTATGTTAAATTTAAATTTTTTTCAGCTTTATATGTTTAATATAAATAAATTAAAATAATACACCTATCTGAAAACAAACGCACGAAAATAAAATAGTGCTAATCATTGAGCTGTGGTTGCAGTTATTTCGATTTCGTGACCATATATTTGTTTGTTCTTAGAATGTCGTATTTTATAAATAAAGCAACCCGATTCCTTTTTAGCAACAACCCACGAACAGGCATCCACATTTCAAAACAAGAGCCATATTGGTGTCCCTCAGTTACTAGCACACCAATATGATTCTCATTACCTAAATCTAACCTTTACAAACTTTTGAAAAACTCGGCAAATTCAACTAGCGTCACTCGGCAATTTGACATTCGACACCCCCCAATCCATATCCCTTCGTAACAGCCCTGATTCAGTGAAGAGGAATTCTATTCCATTTCCTACAGTTGCACAAACTTGATTAATCCCCCTTGAGCCACAGAACATTTCCCATCTTTGTAAGTAAGTGCGATGTTGTTTTTGTGTTCCCTGCCGCCACGACTGCATGATAATTTCTGAAGCCCCTTCTGAAATGCCTCTGTTGAGGAGGTGACTCCTGACAAGTGGCAACATAATATCTCCAGTTTGTTGAACAATGGGTGTATCGCCTGTGGATATATCCGTTTGTAGAATCAGCGTGTTCTGTCTCCTAGGTAAAATCACAGGATATTGTATAATCATATTCGATCATTAGGTAAGGTCACCAAGCTTGTGTGGGCCAATATGGAACAACAATCAAGGCTGTGGCTTGGTCCTTCTTTACTTTTTGAAGAACTTGGTGAATAATGCAGAAAGGAGGAAAAGCATAAAATTTATACATTCTCCATGACAAATGAAAAGCATCAATTGCATATGCTTCTGGGTCTGATGTGTAAGCAACATATGGCTTAACCTGGTAATTAAGCCTAGAGGCAAACAAATCAATATCAGGAAAAAAAAACAATTTTGAAACTACGGAATTAAAAATGTCCTTGTTAAAGGCCATGTTACACGGTGCAATTTTTCTTGCAACTTGCAATGCAATTCTACTCTTGAGAGATGTAAAATTGCCAAATACGAGTCTTCGTTACACTCCGCTGATGTTTTCTAAACATATCGAAAATTCTAGATCTTCACTGATTTTACTAATTAACATCTCTCAAGATCTTGCATTGCAAGTTGCAAGAAAAATTGCACCGTGTAACATGGTCTTAAGAGACCATTCAGTTTCTCGTCGAGATGCACGAGATTCTGTATCAACCGCAGTGTTTTGTTTACCTGAAATGTGTGCCAAAGTGAGCCATGTATTGTTAATTATACACCATTCCCAGATTTTTGACACTAATGATTATTTGCTTTAGAATGACAGGTGCCCATGTTGTGATAAAAAAACACAGCAGTAGTGTTATCAACTAGCAGTTTTACTGATGTTTTCCGGCAACTGCGGAGGAAAAAAAGATTGCAACGCCGAGAAAACTGCTAGGATTTCTAAGTAATTTCTGTCATTTGCCGTTTCATCAGGTGTACAGTTTCTACCTGTTGTTGTGGTGTCTATACAGGGCCCCCATCCAGTCAAAGATGCATCGGTAGACGTAGTGACTTCAACCTCCCCATGGTTTATTGGGTTATAGGCGTCTGGTAGGGATGTTATCCACCATTTTACATCTGTTATAGATTCCTGTGAAATAGACATTCCCCCTCAAAATTCCCTTTACTTTGTTTAAGGGTATTTGTTTTGTCCATTTCCAGAGATCTATAGTGGAGTGGGCCAAACATTACCCCTGGGAAGCTCGATTAATTTTTTAGCCCTTTCAGGCGTCAATGACACACACATCTTTAAGGAGTCAAGGACAAATCCTAAAAACACAATTCGTTAACGTTGTGTAGGAATAAGTATGGACTTCTCTGAATGCACAGTAAACCCAAGTTTGTCTAAAAAGCTTAAAGTATAGCTACAATGTTCTCAATGCAACGTCATATCAGGCTGATTTTAGCCAGGAATCATCAATAAAAACGACTGATGTGTGGCCATGCTTCCTTAAGTAAGCAAAGGCAGGTTTTAACAGCTCAGTGAACTTCCGAGGTCATATACATACTTCCATTGGGAAAACATACAAATTTGTATATCTGCCCTTGCCACTGAAATTTTAAATATTTGTGATAATCAGCATGGATTGGCACTGAGTAATATGCATCTATGGAAGTTAGTAAAAAATGGTATGTCCGAAAATTTTTTTCTTTCCTTCCCCCCACCCCCCGCTCGCCAACAATTTTGGGAAAAGAAATATTAATTAGCGACTGAAATGTCCGTCGGGCACGACTTCCGCCACGCCCTTTTGGTCAGGCAAAACAGCTCACACCCCCGCAGCCGTAATACCCAAGTTACGCCCCTGTTCGAAGACCCTAAAAATAGAAAATTGTCCGGGTGACTATGCCCCTGACGATTTGCCCACCCCCTCCCCCCACTCGTATGGGGCTGGTTACGCCCCTGGCGTCATGCTATGTGGGTGATGTACAAATGATCCATTGACCTGCTGAGGCAAATCTACCTTTCCTATCACGGGTTTAATTTCGCACGGTTGAACTAAATAAAAATATTCAAAATAGTATATTCAAAACAAGAGCGCACAGGGCAGTGAACCACATTTCATCTCCAGTATATGTACATTTATTATATTACGATATAGATTAATAGTTCCAAATGAAGACCCTACAGTATCGTCTGTATCGATATCTTGGCCGCTCATGCACAATACTTGGCAATTGCATGATGGCATATGTTTTGAGTTATTTTGCCGACACAATGTTAAGTGGTTATGCATTATTTGTTCCTTTATATATACGCAAACATGTCCTTTAGAACCTGGGGGTCCTTAAAAAAACAGGGGGTCCTTAAAAAACCAGGGGGTCCCTAAAAAACCAGGGGGTTACATTTTATGTAGCAGATGCGGTTTCTCTTCAAGTCTTTTTTATTATCGCTTATTTTTTTCACAGGAAGATGTTCAATCGCTTGTTATCGACAACCACTCTTATTCTAGCAGATAAACTGGCATTATTCTTATGATGGCTAAATGATACAGGATGCATGCCAACAAGTCATCCTTCATCTGCAATATTTATATATTGTTTCTTAGGGACTGGTCATAATTTAGCAGGGGGGGAGGAGGTGTAATTCAAAATTTTAAGGAATAATATTTTGTCACCCTGCTTTGCCATAACCCGGAAAAATTGTCTTTCGCTCGTGTCGGTAAATATGTACCTACCTACTACTAAACCCCGCATTCAATAAATTTTCTAATTGCTCTTTAAATTTTCTAATCGCACTTTAAATTAAATACTAAAATTTATATTATACGAATACATAGCCATATATAAAACTTTAGTTTATCAAGCCTAGCTTGATCCTCCTCTGACGTTGACTCGCCGAACTCTTGACGGCGGAACAGTGAATGTCGTTAAATTTAATTGAACACAGTGATTTATATCAGTAACTTTTCATTTTAAGTTTTAAGAATCAATTTTTTTCAATGCAACTCAAACAAAATGTTAGAAGGCATGTATAAAACAATTAATTGAACTAAAACAGCTGACTCCCCCCCCGGCCTTCATAAACTGTCTAATATATTATGAACCCCCCTCTTACCTGGCTAAAAAATATGTGCCCCCACACTGTTTCCGCCTCCCCACCCCTCCTGCTAAATTATAACAAGTCCCTTACTATAACTATAATTACTAGTAACTTACTCTCCAGTTAAGAATAAATAATAAATATATATTCTATTAATAGTAACAAATTTCATTTGGTAATTTCTATCTTTTTAATTTTTGTCTATAGGGTGGATGTGGAGAAACGTTTTTATAGGAGAGGTATGATTGCTTCAGCAAGTCAATGGGTCATATTAAACACCTATACAGTTATCAGAGTGACTCTATTGTTCACGATAGTCAAGAGGCGACTCAAGAGGCGACGCTAAAGAGGGAGGGGGGAGGGAACACCCCAGTCATCGGGTAGTCGGCAAAATATTTGAATCGGCCCAGTCGGCAAAACACGAATTTGGATAGGAAGGAAAATAATAACATATTTGAGTGACGCTGATTAAAAATTAATGATAATTAAGATGTGGAGAAATTTACGAAAATATTGGAGAATAATGGAGCGAACAACGGTAGTTGAAATTTCAGTTACAGCCCACCATTCAAAGAGGTCTAGCGCCAGCCCTGACTATAGATAATCATTGGGTCGTTCTTGCATGCATCAGTATACATGCGTACACGTCCTCACGTTGGTCCAAGGCAAATGAAAACCATCTATATCTCAAATTACATATACTGTTTATGCAAATTTAACGTTTCTGGTTACATATACACGTTTCTGGTTAACACTTTCTGGCTATAGATAAATGTGGACACCTGGTCTCTTTTTATATAGTGTTAGAGCTATAAGAGCGTCTGCGAGGGAGACACTTTTTGTACGGTACGTACTGGGAGTATTAGATAGCCTTCGTAGCAGCCGGTTTTTTCGGGGAGGACTTGCGGGCGGGAAAATTAGGGCGGGAGAACTTTCACATTGCGCATAATTGATATTAATTTATTTCGTTTTCGGCTTCAGAGAAAGGCTGTCTATGCAACTGTAGACTTCCTATCGACATAAAATCTCGAGAGACAAAAGACAATCTTGTTCAACGAAGACAGAGATTAAAAAGAACAAAACAATAGACACTCCGAAAATAGATAGATAACATTTTAATCAACGTTTCGACTAGGTTTCAGTCATCTTTAGGAATGATGATGACTGAAACTAGCCTCCTCTGCAGGCATGGCCTTTCGATTATCGGGCAAAATTTCAAGATGCCTGCGGAGGAGGCTAGACTGAAACCTGATGATTGTAATCTAGTCGAAACGTTGATTAAAATGTTAACTATTAATTTTCGGAGAGTCTATTGTTTTGTTCTTTTTACAAATTACTCAATGGCAACCATAATTACAGGGATTAACATGTCCATGTTTGCCGCCAGGCCCAGGAAAAAATACGCACGGCATGCAGTTTGGTTAGGTTATATCAGGGTTATATTTAATTATTGATGCCACACTCAGTGTTGGGTTCTAACAAAAACTGTTTGGTTGCGTATGAATAAAAGTCTTTTTTATGTGGATAATGATGGAAACTTAAACTGATAAGGTTATCAGTACAATAAATTATTACAATCAATAGAACGAATTTCATGTTTAATAATTAAGGAAACCACATTTTCGATAACAGCCACAAAACAGACATACTGTATAATATTATATTAAACACAAATTGTTGTGTACCAACAGAGTTCAGATTCTGCGATACCTTTTTTTTTTTATTAACTTTAAAATCAATAACATATATTAACAAATGATTGAAGGAAAGGGACAACAGATCTTAAATAAGATCCAATTAAGTCCCACCAAAACTATTTCGACTAACATGTATAACATTTACATGTTTATTAATCTAACTTAACACTTTATCTGGCTAGAACCGTCTTTTTGTCTTAACTGAGTATAAATGATTTTTTTTTTAATTTTTTAGAGTTTTTATACTAAAAACCTTAATTGTACCAGTTCATTGAAGTTCATTCCATTGTCTTTATAGGCCAAAGAGGAATGTCTATATATAAGGGAAAGTACATTTGTACTGGCACTTTTGCATGCATTTTGACAGGCATGCAAAGACATTTGCAACAGATGTCAGGAGATACGTTGGTAGGGGGCGACGTTCTCTAAGGTTCCAGCACATTACCCTGATCCAGGAAATCCCGGCCACTACATGAACGTGTTCAAGACTCCGACTACGCTTAATGACGGACAACAACAACCTGTTGATAATTTCGCCTCTAGAGACAATCTAAATGTTTTTCTTTTAAAGACGGTGCCCTTTCATCTGGCACTAGTGAGGTGTGAAAGAAGCAGGTCGGTATTTTTGTTGAGGAGAAGCACATGCCATGCTTGAGTATATCAGACATGTTGAGGAACTGCAAATTGTATCTATGATAAGAGCGAATTCCGGATTGTACTCCTTTGATTCCGAGATCTTGGGGGGAGGGGCATTGAAAATTTTAAAAACTTGGAGGGGGGCAATGGGCATCGAAAAATTACCAATAACCTCAACAAGGGCCCTGTAAAAATATGAGCTTTTTTTCAAGACATCTTCATCCCTCCTCGGCGGGTCAAGAATCAACTCTCGCAAACAAGAGTGTTTCAGTAGGAAGAGGGCCCCCTATACCTCTTCACAATATGCTTTCACGTAAAAATATTTTGCCTTTTCACGAGTCACGGATTAAGATAATCATCCGATCACGTTTCACGGCTAAGTAAAATAAGCCCTTCACGCTTCACGCAAAAAGTATAGGGGGCCCGATCACGTTTCACGGCTAAGTAAAATAAGCCCTTCACGCTTCACGCAAAAAGTATAGGGGGCCCTCTAGGAATGTAATTTACATTCGGGTCTCTATAACTTGAATTTCTAGCTTTGAACTTCGCGTCAGGTATGACAGAACTGAGATGAGTTGTATATTTCCCTCTGATCACTCAAAAATAAGTAAAAGTCCCTCAAAAATATTTTCAATTTGACTTTATACAAATTGAATCTCTGAAAAATAGAAATTCTCAGCTTGTTCACAGTGAGAATCATGTAGTGTCAGTGAACGTTCAGTAAAAGTCAATCCTTGCCATTATTCATTAATGCCAATAATGCAGCAAAACGGCAACCATGCAATGAGCATAAAAATTGGCGTGATAAAATTTCGTTGAACAGCTGCTATAACTTGGTATATGTACCATATAGAACATAATTTTCAAAACGGAACTGAAATCCATATAAAGAACATTACAAGTCTATAACTATAAGACCACATATAAGCTGAAGTGTGTGCATCCTGTTTAATTGGCAAGAGAAGCAACTTCAAGAAGTGCAAGGTTAAGGGACTATTTTTCTCCTCGACAAGAATCTCAAGGGTCAACCCACATGAGATGCATGCATAAGTGCATGCATGGATACTAATGTCACTCAGGAGTTGCATGTGAAGCTATTGTCTGAGTATTGAAATTATTCTCATTTCATGGAATTCCTTGAGTAAATATGATCAATATTTGATAAACTTTTACTCGCGAAATTCACTGGCTATAAAACACTTTCCAGCAATGGACACTTGTAGACTGGATAGCATTTGTAAATTCTGAACGCTGATTGGCTAAGAGCCGTGTTGATATAACTCAATGACAACACGGAAAATTTCTTTGTTTATATTTCTTTGCACTATATTATATAAAAAATATAAAACATTTTTCTGTATTGATATACAGTTATATCAACACTTGTGGAAATACTAGATTCCCCTTATTACGTTTTCGTAGCGCTTTGCATTGTGGTTATAGTGGTATCACTGATATTCAAGATGGGTTATTTTATGTCCTGACCCGTGCAAGAACTTTAAAAAAAAGCTAGGATCAGGTGCGCGATAGCCAACAGCAAAATATTCGCGAAAACATTCAATATTTTCATTCGACATGTCTTTATCAGTGATACCACTATAACCACAATGGCTCAATGCAAAGCGCTACAATTTCTCGTTTTCACAATTTCCACTCGTGATGATATAACTGTATATCAACACGGAAAATATTTTATAAATTGTATTTGTTAAGTAAATGTTCGATAATTGGAAGAACATTTATATCCCAAAGGTGGAAAATGCGAATTCAACTGATCACTTTGTATTTAAATCAGATCGCATTTGCCCCGATTTGGTCGTTTTTATCGCAATCATTCCATAAACGTGTCAATTGACAGCTAAAAGCCTGATCTTTATAAATATGAAAATGAAAACCTATTGACGTATTAATTAAACCCACCAGATAACATGTCAAGGTTGGATTACCTTTTTTGATTCACCCTGCAGCATGAGGTGTAAAAAATGTGGACAATTTTGAAACGGCTCTCAATTTCACAAATTCGTTCATTTCATGAAATTTTTGATAAATATAGGCCTAGATTGTTTCGGTACTTATAATGTAGAATAAACAAAATTTTTTCGTAAAGCTAAATTTTCCAGAACAGGAAGGGGAGGTGCCTTTTTTAGCAGCATTAAAAATAGCCCGCGCGAAATTAAAAGTTTAAAACACATTTTGAGTTCATGCAGGGCGAGAAATTTGTTATTTGTTTTATTAATGGTCCAAATATATCAGAAAATTCACTAAATTCTTTAAACAGCTGCTGAAACTTTCATTTTTTTGAACCAATGCCTACCATGCATGCTTAATTCAACCTTTTTACAATAGCAATATGCAAATTAGGTAAATGCATGAATTCAGCATGCGTAACAGGCATTGGGCCAAAATATAAAAGTTTCAGCAGCTATTTAAAGGATTTAAAATTCTGGTATTTGGACCATTAATAAAACACATAACAAATTTCTCGCCCATGAACTCAAAAAAGGCACGTGCCCACTACTCTGGAAAATTTATCTTTACAAATTTTTTTTGTTTTTAAAATTATTCCACATTATAAGTACCCGGAAATTTTACACTTTACCCTACCGGAGTAATCACTGAATACATGCGCCATCAAAACATGCCAATAAAAGAACGAAAAACCGTCAGCACACACGCCATCAAATACTTGCGGTACGGTAAAGTGTAAAGTACCCAAGTACTCAAACAATCTATATTTATCATAAAATTCATGAAATGAGCGTATTTGTGAAATTGAGAGCCGTTTCAAAATTGTCTACTTTTTTCGTACACCTTGCATCTGTTTAAATACGAGAATTCATACGCTAGCTGTAACGATGCTGAAATTCGCGAACTCTGCTTCGCGAATGAAATTTAAAGTGAAAGTTTGGAAATTTTACACTGTTTCAAATTCATCCTAATTCATCCTCAGTCACAGTGCACCACATTCTGAAAGTGTAGACCTCACCTATAAACTATGTCCAACTTATCTATAATGTACGCTACAAGACCCTTCTGTTCCAGTGTAGAGGGGAATCTGTCGAGAACATAACAAATTAGGCCAGAATAACTGTTTTGGAAGGCGAAATGGCCATACTCCACAACCACATGCTGATACACTCAATGGCTGCGTCTTCGAGATCTTCGTTTCTGTAGTATGTTGGCAGAGATGAAAGCACAAACACCGCCTCCTCGCAGGCTAAACCAAATTGTTTACTCACCGACAAAGACAAACGTAAGACGGCATGCAGCATTGCATATTGAGCCAGTATTCATTCAGATAAAGAGGTTTAGTTTAATTTGTTTCTATGCAGAAAACAAAAACTTTCTTGGTTAATTGCAAAATTATTCTGATTCATTAATATGACTGTTTATTGGTTATTAAACGCAGATTAAAATTTTGTATTTATCAACTGGAGTCTATTTTATTAATTGCGAAGTCCATATCTGTAGTTTTATATAGCTTTTCAAGCATTTTTACAACTTAGAATGATTTCGAAAGTTGGCAGGAAGTGCCAATTAAGGACTCTATCTATAAAATGAGTCTTTATATAAAATAGGATGTTTCACACTCTTTATCCAATACATCTTTAACAAAGAATTTAGTATGGAAGCTACTAAGTTCTTTGAATTTTTAGTTAACTCTATTAATCAGTTTATTCTTAATTTCCTTCTTCGATCCTTGTTTTATCAAATAACTAAAACAGGATACTATAATGAATGCAAATAATTGTTTTTCAAACGCTTCAGCCAGGGCGTTGCAGCTTGTAAAAGCTATATAAACGTACAGCTATTTTGGCTTGATCTAAATTTACAATAGCTGCATGTACATATATAAATACAAAAAAGAGACATAGAGGATATTACACGGCGGCGTGAAGATATGACTTATTGACTTTTATCTTCGAGTGGTCAATAGCTGCATGTACATATATAAATACAAAAAAGAGACATAGAGGATATTACACGGCGGCGTGAAGATATGACTTATTGACTTTTATCTTCGAGTGGTGAAAACAAACAGCAGGTTCGAACTTTCTTGGCAAAATTTTCGTTGAACGTCTTCATTTCATATGAAACGAAATTTTCTTCCATCGAAACAATAATTATGTATTTCAGTTTTAAAACAGCAAGTTCAGTTACTCTTTATTGCCTGATACCGTAAAATTTTTCTTTGCCTGGCGTTTGCCGTTTCATGTATAACGCGAAGCTTAAACTCTCTATTAACACCACCCAAAAACGTTTAATTGTCCTAACCCGTCAGGTGTGGCATGCTAACTATAGTATCGAGTGCTATTTTTAACAGCTTCTGAGTTTCGGAAAAAATTATACATAATTTATTATTATCAAGACGAATGATCAATATAACCTAACCAAAACTGCATGCCGTGCATATTTTGTTTACGGCGGCAAACATTGACATAATCCTGTTATTATCAAGACGAATGATCAATATAACCTAACCAAAACTGCATGCCGTGCATATTTTGTTTACCGGCGGCAAACATTGACATAATCCTGTTCTCGTTGAAAAAGATTGTCTCTTTGTCTCAATAAGCTTCTTTGAAATGAGCTTTTACGTCAAAAGGAAGTCTACATACTTGGATATAAACAGCCTTTTTCTGAAGTGAAAACTAAAATAAATTAATTTCCAATGTCAATTATAATCTAACATCCCCAGTGCGTACGTATAAAAGGCGTTCATGTCCTCACATTTATCCATAGCCTGCTGAAGGTATTAACCAGAAACTTGAACGGTTGCTGAAGTATAAGGTATGTTTTATATAAACAGTTTAATTATGTAGCCTAATTTGTGTGTTTTATATAGATGGTTTTTATTTATATTGTGCAAGCATTGTATTGACAGGAACGATCCCATGAAATGAACTAATTTGTCATCACTTATCGAAACACATTATAGTGAACAATTTAGTCACTCTGCATGACCACCTGCAGTGCTGCACTGTGTCCCAAACCAGCGTGTCGAAGCTACTCTTTATTTAATAATGACTACATTAGAGTCATTGCTTGTTGTACAATCTATAAGTTTTATATGTATAGCATATGCGGTTTCTCTTACTTTTTTATTCTTATACATCATTTATTTTTTCGCAGGATTGAGATGTTTAATCGCTTGTTATTAGCAACCACTCTAGTTCTAGCAGGTAAACTGACATTATTTTTACGATAGTTAAATTCAACATATACAGGATGCTAAATTCAGTAAACTGTTGTACAGCATAGTTTATGCGAAATATTTATTCTCTTACATTGAATACTGCTATTTTTGCCTATATTTCAAAAATTAATATTTACACCGGAATTATATTCATTTACCAGAAATATTTATATTCGAACTAGCTTAAACGCCAATATTCAATATACCCCCTATACTAATGAGCTTAATTAAGGAATCGTACAAAGAGCTGAGATCATTAATATTGCTAGCACAAAGTACGTTATACTTGCTATTAATATAATTATATAAATATAATATCTTCTTCATCAAAATAACATGGTTCCAATGATAATGTTTCCAATTTTATTGTTTAGTGTGGATCTCTGTGACGACTGCAGCGAACGAGACGTGCAAAAATGGAGGGATTGCGGGCGGGTCCTATCACCAAGTTTGTACTTGTGGTTCCGGCTTCAAGGGATATGACTGCAGTCAGAGAGGTAAGCGGTTTAAGGTATCAGAGTAACGATTCAGTCAAGCCCTGGTCAAACGAGGATGAGAGTTGATGATGGAGATTTCGAGCTCTAGAGTGTTCCAACTACACACGTAAAAGCGCACAAGCTGTAACAAACCTGTAGCAGACTTGTAGCAATGCTGTTGCAACAACTTGTCAACAGGATGTGTTCGCACTGCTTGTTCCCAGCTTGTTGACAAGTTGTCAACGGCTTCTTGACAACTCTTGCTACAAGGTTGTTGAGCTCAACAGATTTGTTACAAGTTGTTCCAACAACTTCATATCATCCTGCAATTCGACAATTTGTCAACAAGCCGGTGAGTGACAACCTTTTAGCAACTTGATAAAATAACAGTATTGTAACTATTGTTACAACTTGTTGACAAGTTTGCTACAAGCCTGTTGCGAACACATCTTGTTGACAAGTTGTGAGATTTTTACAGTTTTGAGAGAGACACACTTTAGGAATAATTTTAGTACTACATGCACTCTAGTTGATATAGAAACCTATTTAGGAAACAATATATAGATAATAAGTGAATTTTCTTTATGCCTCTAGTGAGACCTTGTGAAGCACGTCCTTGTAGAAATGGAGGAAAGTGTTCAGAAAACAGAGATGGAACTTTCACATGTACTTGTACAGCTATTCACAAAGGCATCTTGTGTGAACAAAGAGGTTAGATATTCAAATATTTATTTTATTACCCATTTAATGGCGTTTATACATAGTTGCTCCCAAGTCACCATAATTACCAGAGGCTCGTGTCACACGTGCTCGACGTCGACAACTAAGGCCCGCTAAGAGTTTCGTGAGCCAGAAGGAATATCTGGAATTGAAGACCCTCGAAAAACAGGAGAAAATTAACCAAACAACTTTTATTTTGAGCACAAGGTAGTCAGCCGGTCACCCAACCTAAATTTTGTTTCAGCAAGTTCAACCAATGTTACCAAGAGTTTATAATGGCTCCCTAAAGTTGTGTTAAACAACGCATGACCTCAATTTACCCCACATTGGTCTTAGGTCAGTGTTGGGTCAATTGAAGCCTGTTGACACTTCAAGACAAACTACTTCAGCCGAGTCCTATAGCTGCAGTCCAGATATAAGTTTCTAGTTTACAACAGAAATCCTAACAGAATCTTTTCTTCCAGTTACACCATGTGACAGTGGACCCTGCAAAAATGGAGGAAATTGTACTGATGATGGAGTAAAATGTTTCAAATGTGAATGTCTTTCTGGTTTCAAAGGATCTGACTGTTCTGAAATTGGTAAGATATACAGACCTAGCTGAGGAAGAACGAATTATATTAATATGTTTCGTTTACATGGCTAGAAATACCATTATAGCCCTGTGAAGTTCACAAATTTTGTATACCGTAAACCTCCGAATATAAGCCCCCCCCCCCGTGTATAAGCCCAAGCCGGTTTTCCACTTCGCCCGTATCGTACACCACATGTACTAACGCTCACCTCATTCCAAATACAAGCCCCCCCCCCCGAATATAAGCCCAGCCACCCGAATATAAACACACTTGTCTTGTTTATTACTATTGTTTATCATTATTGTTTATCACTATTACCACTATTAATCACTATTATTACTATGCTTAACACTTGTTTATCATTACTATACTTGTTTATCACTATTACACTAACACAAAAGATCGCCCATATATAACCCTCCCCCCCGGATATAAGCTCGCACCCCTTGTATAAGCCCATCAAAAATCGCTTACGAAAGAATATAAGCCCAGGGCTTATAGTCGGAGGTTTACGGGTATTTGTATTACGCGCGGGAAAAATAACTATTTTTGAGTATTGTACTGATGAGGCCAAGATATCGATACAGAGGATACTGCAAGGTCTTTTAATTTGGAACTATTATATTCCATATTGTATTATGATAAATGTACTTATACTGGAGATGAAATATGGATAACTACCCAGTGCGCTCTTGTTTTGAATACTATTTTGAATATTCTTTTAGTTCAACCGTGCGAAATTAAACCCTGTAAAAACAATGGTATTTGTGTTAATGAAGAAGAAGGAAGGTTTACATGCAAGTGTAGGGAGGGATATGGAGGAATATTTTGTGATAGGAGAGGTAAGTTTGCTTCAGTTGTGTGGTTTGTACAACACCTACATAGCATAACACCAGGGGCGTAATACGGTACTAGCCTCAAACAAGTAAGGGGAGGTGTGCATTCATTTCATGATAATTTGAAAGACACAGATTCAGTGGTGTATTTTATGTCATGCATGATGAAAAACATTAAAAGGTTACGCCCTCCCCCCGTTTCTCCTCACATTTGAAAGAATGGGACGGTGGGGGGGGGGGTCCAGAACCAAGTCCCTTGTAGCTACGCCTCTGCATATAACAGTTAATATTGAATATTCTATCCACTCTTGATCGAATGATCGGAAAGTCTCATTCCATTGTCTTTTCATTGTTTCAAAAATCCATTAAATCCTACTATTTCTACATACTATCCATTAACTCATTGTTCTGAATTATTTCGCATTTATCCATGGAGCTATAGATTCCGAATTACTTTGATGCACATGTAACAACAAGAAGAAGATCCTACTGTATTTAAGTTGTATATAGCTAAGTTATTTCCGTCGGGAACCTGGACCATATTATCTCATTTTCCGCACTCAAGCAAATTCGGGAATGGGATTGGTATTCCTAAAAAAAAAAAGTTGATTCCAAAAACACTCGGAACGCCATCTTCGTGCAGTCAGTAATCAACAATATCGTTTCGACTTTATTTAAACTCAATGACTCTGAGATAAATATCACATCCCATTTCGTGTTTTGTGTTTATTATGAACAACTCACGTGAGTTTACAAGATGGCATTCTTCGCAGTTTTTTGTGATGTTAAGTAGGACAATTTGACGCTTGTTCTTCGTTACAGATGATCTGTATGGCTCCAAAATTTTGAATAAAACATACATTATTCAGTTAAAGAAATGGCTTGGTGGCTTAAAGTCGTGGAGGTTATGTTACCGTGCTACTGATGTTGGTTTTGCAGCATCTACTTTCCATACTCGATGTGATCATAAGCACCCAACTGTCACCATCATCCGTTCTGGATCCTATATCTTTGGCGCATATAGCGATGTTGCTTTTGGAGGTTAGTTTAAAGAGCAGTCTGGCTCATTGGCAGAATTACTCAACGACAGAATTATTAATACAAGAAATGCCTATTATAGTAAAAAATATTCGTTTGTAATTGTATTTCAATCTTCTTATTAAGGTTTACGAATTGTACACAATTTATGTCTACAAAAGATTTAGATCGATGGAATGCGTGTATGCTGACCATTGCCTTATAATTAATATTTTGCAGAATTATAGTCTTCAAGCAATGAAACGTTTAAAATTATGTATCAAACTTCTTCACAGAATTTTTCCAGATCTTGGAAAATTTTTAAAGTTTAGCCTATATTGAAAACAATTATTGCATGGGCAACCATCCTCTTGGATTGTTTTTCGAATAAAATCGATGAAAATCCTTCCAGTCGATTTAGAAACATTTTCAATTCAATAAACTCTTAACTCGAGTTTTAACTGTCTTAGTGTCACTGTGTCAGACTCAAATAGTTAATTAATATTTCAAAAATATTTATATATGAATCTGTTTTTAACCTTTTTTGTCATTTTATTTTAGGTTCGACAGGTTACAGAGCCAGTTCCAAAGCATTTATCTTCTCCTTCGTGAATAAAGACAACCTCCCGCCCTTCAAATCCCCTGTCTACAGGTATATTTCAAATGCTGTATACACTAATGCTGGTTACGGTCCTACATTCGGCGGTGGCCATGATATTTATATTTCAAATAACGCCAATACAGGTACTAGTTCCTACACAAACCTTGGCCATACCTATCAACCACCAAGGGGATATTCATACGCCACAGTCAGGGTGAGGAATCTTCTCGCTGGCACATATAAATTCAGACCTAATGAGGTTGAAACATTTTACGTAAACGGCTTGCGTCTTCAGTAATGAGTACCATGAATATTTCATTATCAGTCCATTAATGTGCTTCACTATCAGTCAATTTGCTGTATTTAGTTATATTTATTTAATTAATTTGAATGAATAATAAATATTACTCGGATAAAGTGTCTTCAGTTTTCACTAATCACCAGCATATTCGTTAAAAACGGTTTCACTTGACGTCATCACTGCTGTTGAATAAATTTGACAAAGAATTCATTGTATGCTCGTTGGTGGTCCTTATAAATTAAAGGTTTGTTGCTGCATTGCGTGCCTGGTGTTGGTCGTCAATTTGTCGTGCCTGTTACAGGAACCCTGCTCCAGGCTGGTCACGTGTCACTCAGATTTTGGGAGATAACAAAAATACTAGGATAGGGGGCTAAGTTTGTTTTACGGATCTAGTTGCTGATGAAGATGCCGATATCAATTCGATCACGGTTGATTCAATTAAGTTCAGAGTAGGTGTAATTTAACAAATGCATGTAATTTTAATGAATAGCACGAGCTTGTGTCGCAAAATCAAAGTCAATGGTGATTATGGTAATTCGTTTTATTTCGTTTGCGAATTTGAGATTTCGTCAGTTATTTCGTCCCTTAATTGTGCGCAGCAAATAGCATATACCCATTTATCTTTTGAAAATACTCAACAATAATATCTCCCCTGTCTTTCTAAAATAATTCATAATGATTCTTCTTCACATGGCATATTCCCTGACAAGCTTTTAATAAAATAGCTAAAAATCACGCCGATTATCGACCGATATCATGCAGTTTTATCAATTTTAAGTAAAATTTTTGAAACAATTAGTCTATAAAGTCTATAAAAGAGTAGATCGGTGTGTGCTGATTTAAAATTCATATATAGACTACTGTACATGCATGTACCTTTATGATAAAGGTACACGTACCATTATAGAGCATTCTTTAACAAAATGTTTGTTAATCTGAACAAAATGTTTGTTAATAAAAACTCAAATATTCGAGAAATCAATAAATACTTTATTTTCCAAAGTTAAAGGTAATGTTACAACTGTTAAACACGGGATTAAATTAACAAGGTGGGGTGGTTAAACGGTAAAATTAAATAAAATTACATAAAGTAAAGAGTGATTAACGACCGCTTACAAGCATTTCTAACATGATTGTGGGCTCACATTTTGCAAATAGCCTGAAATAGGCGGGAATTTTATTCAAAAATCAAAATTAGTGAAAAATAAACAAGAAAACAAGTTTAAAATCAACGAAGAAGCTCGTTTTGCTTGAGATGTCTACGTTAAACCAAAATGTAACTGTTTGGCAATTATATATCATGCTTCTTCGTGTAATTGACCCTACGTCGTCTTCGAGAAATCTTCCAGTGCAAAAATATATTTTGTTTTCGCCAAAAAACAAATGCGATAGCGTTTGAAGAGTTTATATTGTCAGGAAACATTCACAGGGAAGATAGCGATTGAAAATCCCAGGTAAGCATTCATTGCTTTTTATTCATTGTTTTCTGAAAAATGTTGTTCTCTCCTATACCATCGCCATTAAGCATCGTTAAGGGGGAGCATCCATACTCAACTTGCCACGAGAAACGTCAATTTGACGTTTGTGGGTGTGTGGGTTATTTTCTTTGACGTTTTGCCATAGGCTGCCCAAAAGTGCGTGTTGTAATTTCTACCCTCGCGCGTGGCGCTCGGCCATGCATCGAGTCTACTCAGTTTATTATTATGACATAATAATAAACTGAGTAGACTCGATGCATGGCCGAGCGCCACGCGCGAGAGTAAAAATTTCAACACGCCGGCACTTTTGAGCAGCCTATGGTTTTGGCTGTGGCAGTTCGACATATTATATAAAAAGTACAATATAAAATTTTATTTGTAATACGTACATTAAAAACACAAACCTGTACAATATTTTCCCTAGTCAAGGAAAATATACAAAACAAACAAACTTTCTTACTTCGCCAGACGGTAAATCAAAATAGTGATTTAAAAAGTGATTAAGAGTTTTATACAACCGGCCCCAGCTCTCCAGGAATCAAAAATCTTCAAAGACCACTTTGTCGCGTATTTTGCTGGTACTTGGCGGCGTCGCTCTTTCGAGCAACGTTTGCCCCTCTTCGAGCGCTTCGAAACCGACAGATTAACGACACAAGTCAAATGCTCAAATTTCCATTTGAAAACTTCGTTTAACGACTTGTATGACTTGCAATTAATCCAGTCATTAATTTGCTTGCTGATCAATGAAGGGAAGAATCGTAAAACAATAGTACGGTGGCCCAGACGCGACAGCACAAAAACACAGACGCGACAGCACAAAAACAGTTTTTGTATTTTTTGATTTTTTGATTTTTTGATTTTTTGATTTTTTGATTTTTGTATTTTTTGATTTTTTGATTTTTTGATTTTTTAATTTTTTGATTTTTTGATTTTTTGATTTTTTGATTTTTTGATTTTTTGATTTTTTGATTTTTGTATTTTTTGATTTTTTGATTTTTTGATTTTTTGATTTTTTGATTTTTTGATTTTTTGATTTTTTG